CCTTCCTTTTTTCCCTCCTTCCTTCTTTCCCTCTTTCTTTCCCTCCATCTCTCCCTCCTCCTTCCTTCTTTCCCTCCTTTCTTCTTTCTTTCCCTCCTTTTAAATTAAATATAACATTCTAAAAATTAAATAAAAATACAAGCCTACTGACACTAGTGGTGGAACTACCAGGGTCGCAAAGGTAGCTCTTGTGAGCACCGGGCTCCAAGGAAAGGGTCCCCAGGCTTAGGGCTGTTCAGTCCAAAATGCTCAGGCCTATTTTTTGTTCCAGTCCGGGCCTGAACCCAGCTGTGAAACTATCATAGCCATAGACCCAGGGCCCTTTTAATTGGGTCTGTCTGTCTGTTTTTCTGGCTGACCCGATCAGACCACCCATTGTTCTATATGGGGAGGTGAATGTAAATGGACATGTGTCCATGTACACCCACCTGCACCCGATCTGATCCACTACAAACGGATGGGGCAGGGGCGGACTGACAACTCATGGGGCCCCCCGGGCAATAGGGGATCATGGGGCCCTTGTGTCCTTGCCCAAACTCAAAAAAGCCTATGAAAAAGGTACCAGGGGCATCTCATGGGGCCCCCTACTGACCCCGGGCCCTCGGGCAGTGCCCAAGTTTTCAAATGGTCAGTCCGTCCCTGGGATGGGGGATCCATTCCCCATCCATTTTGTAGATTGGATCGGATGACAGTCAGATGTAAATGGACAGGTGGTCTGTTTACATCCGGCTGCCCCATAAAGAACAGCCAGCTGTGTCAGTGTCCACTTTGCACAAGCCTGTTTGCTTTAGTTTAGTTTTTTTAAGCCTAAATGCCAAGATACAATTTTATTAGAGTCAGTAAGCGCCATGTAATTTGACTATAAAAGCCCTTTCACTTGGACCTGTCATCCAGCAGTGGAAGACGTCACTCCAGCGCGTGCGCACAGGAGTCTCAGGACACGGCCCAGTGCTGTGAAGGAACAGCATGTGTTACCTGTAGGTACAAATTAACAAAGTGTCTTTACTACCACTTTAAAAAAAAAAATAAACTAAAACAAATTATTTTACCAACAGTGGCTGTTTTGTTATACAAACATATTATATGCAGTTTTACTTGGAAAAACAGTTGTCATTTGGGTCTTATGATTTGGTCTGACTTTTCACAGCAGCTGTGTAGGTCAAGTGTGAGAGCTGAGCTCTGAAATCTGAAGGATTAGGTCACAGTCCACTACAGTCCTCAATTCTCTATGAATAAAGGGTTTGTAGCTAGTTTTGCACAGATAAAAAGATAGAACTGTAAATGTTGTTTAAAGATATATCTGATACTGTATATGTTTGATGCAAACATGGCTACTGCAAGTATATCCAGTACACAATTACAACCTCAGAACATTTCATACCTTTGGGGGATCTGTTTTGTTCTTAAAAAATGATAAAGTCTGGGGTTGCATAATTTCCTTTCTTTAGCTGCTACACCTAATATGACCTATTTTTATTAAATGAGCAACTAACATGTTTACCAAATAAAAACAAGAACCATATATTATAGCTCTTGTCCTTCATTGTCCCATGCAATGTACAATGGGCTAGGAGTCAAGGCAATTTGCCTTTGACTTTTATTTTGACTTTTTTTTTTAAGTATTATTAAAGCATCCAGAATGTTCATTGTTGCTGTTAAAGAGTAAGTAAACTATCAAAGCTGTACTCATAAAGGCAGGCAGAGGGCACAGGACTATTTCCCCCTTTACTGACTTACAATGCCTTGTACTGCACTATGTCTCTGTGAGGAGGCAGCCATCTTGGTTAGAAGCAAGACTATATTTTCTCATATTGGAGCCTTCAGCAAGGAAAACAGTAAGCAGCACAGGTGTGACCTCCCTGAATCTTACTCCAGATCTCCTAAGACTAGCAGACGGGCAGCAGTGCTTTAAGTTTCATACTGCAGATATATATCCAGTGGCGTCCCGAGGCAGGTGCAGGGGGTCTGGTGACACCGGACCTGCTCCACAAAAAGGTAAGTTGTAAAGCAAGCCGATCTGATCCATCCTGCGGGGATCATCCGCTTTCTTTACAACTTACCTTTTCTTGGAGCGGTCCGGCTGCCCATCGTTGTCATCCTCAGCATGCAACCTATACGGGGTGACACTGGACCCGCTCCAAGAAAAGGTAAGTTGTAAAGAAAGCCAACGATCCACACAGGATGGATCGAATCTGCGTATTGAGTGCAATGGATCGGAGTCCGATCCATTATGCTCAATCCGCAGGTCCGATCTATTCTGTGGGGCTTGTAGGAGGGGGTGTCACCAAGTGTTACCGCACCGGGTGACACCAACCCTAGGGACGCCTCTGTATATACTTAGGAGTCTGTAGCCACAGGAGTGCCTAAGCACATTGGTATACTAGTGCACTGCTATTTTATATTAGGAATACATGGCAAGGCTTGGAACCAGCCAAACTTTGTTGTTGGTGTATCTGATAGAATAGAAAAAGTCATGTCTGTTTGGGAGGTTTTTCCTCACTTTCCACCTTTCCACCTGGGATTGAACAAGAACATCCCCCAAATGAATAAAGACAGCAAAAAAAAAGCAAATTTTGCAGCTGAGTGGGACATACTTTTAACTTCTGTTGGAATCTTACTGCTATATATATATTGTCTTTGAGTCCAGGTGACAAGTGTCAGACAGAGCAGGAAAGAAGGGAAATCTCTTCAGCAAGGCACAGATGACATGTTTTAAAGACTTCTCCCAAAACTAAGACAAAAATTTTGGCTGGAGTTGGGCTTTAACACATCTCAAATATGTCCCACTCCAAGTGAAAAGAATGCAAACCATTTAAAAGTATGACTTGCTTTCCTTCCTTCTAAGCATGACATACATTTACTAACTGTAATGGTTCCCTACATAGAATATATATCTGCCTACTTTGTATTGTCTGTAATAAGAGTGCAATAAAACTGCTGTACACATATAGTGGTTCATATGCCTTTGTCTTTAGTTGATAGCTTTTATAACACAGAACTGTTTTGTTACTTTGAAAACTTTGTGCGTTAGCTGACACTGAGAAGTAGAAACTTTTAATTTAACCCTTATATAATTATATTTTCCGATCACTGCAGGATGAGCTAACAAAATAGGTCTTAAACAAAACGAACAGCTGATGTTTAAACATCTAGCTAATGCGGCTTAGCAGGTGGTGTAATTGGAGTTCTGCTTTAATGCTCTGAAAGACTTTTAAAAAATCAGCTTGATTTCTGACGTCCCAGCGGTACCTAAAATGTGCCCAAATGATCTTGCTCTTTAGTCGCTGACATTGAAGGTGTCCTTGTGTTTTTTCACTCATATATGCACAATAATCTTTGGTTTGACATCACAATCTAACCAGTATCCTCATGATTACAATATATGGAGAGATTATACAGGGTGTCCTTAAAGTATGGACACATAGGAAATATCACTATATGTATATATATATATATATATATATATATATACATATACATATATCACTATACAAGCTCACCAAACCTTAACCCTCTTGACTTCTTTTTTTTGGAGTATGCTGCAGAATAAGATGTACTCAAACTAAATCACAGATATGAATCACCTGAAGGAATGCATGGAACTTTGCATTACAAATGGTGTAACTCACATAATTATTATTGTTATTATGATTATTATGATTATTATACTACAGGATTTTTATATAGCGCCAACAGTTTAGGCAGCACTTTACAACATAAGGGCAGACAATACAACTACATCACAAATTAATACAGGAGTTTTCAGAGGGCTCTACTCACTAGAGCTTCCAATCTAACATTGAAGATGTTATTGATTAATATTCAAATTAAGTAAAATGTTGTAGAAATTTATTGAAAATAAAATATGCATTTTTTCTATGTGTCCAGATTTTAGGGACACCCTGTAGAATGTGACTGTATAAAAGCCTGACAGTCAAGAAGACCGTATGAGTGTGGCAATATAACTTATTTTTGTATCTTTACTTTCTTACTGTGTGCTTAACTTTAATGCTGGCACTATAACACATTGCGTAAATTATTACTATTGCGGTTTTGGCATAAAAATAAAGGTAAAGTTTAAATCTAGAAAAAGTATTGTTTTAGCTATTTATTTTTAATATATTTAATAATTGTAATGATATGACACTGTTTACACACATAGTCCCCCTTTGAAACCATGTTTCATGTAACACCCTTTTGCTGCATCGCTCTGTGTTGCTCCACTTGCATAGCAGCATTATCCATTCACAGATCCATTCACAGGGATCTATTATTGAGAAGACTACAAGTCCCACCTGCCAATGTGGCAAAGGGATCCACATATCACACCAACAGAATTATGGCAGCAAAAATGCACGCTTGTAGTCCACTGTTTATTTCCTCTAGCCCCATAAAAGGTCTGTAATTTTGTATGGAAATGGTACGATGTTGTTAACAGTGTAGAAGCCTGTGCATTGCACACACACTGCTCTGGTTGTGGTTGCAATGCTCTGCAGAATTCAATGAAAACTTTAAAAAATGCACTTTTTATTTATTTACTATTTTAAGTCCAGACACTTTCATCCCCTTCTAGTTCAGGCCAATTTGCAGCTTTCAGCACTGTCGTACTTTGAATGACAATTGCGTAGTTATGCAACACTGTACCCAAGGAATTTTTTATAATTGTTTTCACACAAATAGAGCTTTCTTTTGGTGGTATTCGATCACCACTGGATGTTTTTTATTTTGTGCTATATAAATGAAAATATACCAAAACTTTTGAAAAACAAATTTTTTTTTGCTTAGCTTTTATTATAAAATTTAGCAAATAAGTAATCTTTCTTCGTAAATGTAGGTCAAAATTTATTCTACTAAATTTTTTTGTGATCAGTGATCAGGACATTGGCATGAGGCATGGTGGAGATCAGGATGCTGGTATGGCAGTGATCAGTACACTGATATGGGTATAGCATCAATCAGGACACTGGTATGGGGTATGGCAGAGATCAGGACGTTGGTAAGGTGTATGGCAGTGATCTGGACACTGGTATGACATATGGGGTGATCAGAATGCTGGTATGGGGTATGGTAGGGATCAGGACATTGGTATGGGATGTGATGGTGATCAGGACACTGGTATAGGGTATGGCAGTGATCAGGACGCTGGTATGACATATGGGGTGATCAGAACACTGGTATGGGGTATGGCAGTGATCAGGATGCTGGTATGGGGTATGGCAGTGATCAGGATGATGGTATGGCATATGGAGGGGATCAGAACACTGATACGGGGTATGGTGGAGATCAGGATGCTGCTATGGGGTATGGCAATGATCAGGGCTCTGATATGATGTATGGCAGTGATCAAGGCACTGGTATGATGTATGGCGGTGATCAGCACGCAGTTATGGAGTATGGTGGTGATCAGGATGCTGGTATGGCATATAACGGTGATCATGGTGCTGGTAAGGAGTGTGGCAGTGATCAGGGCTCTGATGTGGCAGTGATCAGGACATTGGTATGGTGTATATCAGTGTTTTCTGTGAGCCATGTAAGAGCTTCCAATGCGGTCTGACATACAGGTATGTTAGCCCACTTCTGCGCTGCTTCCCGTTCACTGTCTATAGGCAATGGGTGGACTGGAAGCAGTTAATGTAAATTCATTCATACAATTTTTCAAAAACTGGATTATGCCTTTAATGTTCTACAATGAATTTCAAGGAAATAAACACAGAGATCATAAATATAAATCAAAGATACATTTGCTTATATTAAAAGGTGCGACCCCCAAAAGAATTTGGAAGAAATTCGTCACCTGACTTTACCTGGTCATGTACCTGGGTTTTCTCCCTTATTCCCATTCATGAAATAAATATAGCTTTCCTTGTTTTGGAGTTCAAAAATATGCAAAGCAAACTTGTGTGAAGCACAACACTATTCTTTTTAAATGTGCTTTCCTTTTTAAAGCAACAGCATGACTGCTGTAAGACCATAATACTGCTCTACAGTGACCCTTTAAGATGGTCTAAGTTTTTCTTCTATCACTTCACATTTGGTAAATGGAGTGTGACTGGAGATTGTAACTTCCTGGGTTCAAAGTCAGCTGAATGGATGGAAGTATATATTTAAAATGTATGGAAACTTGAAACTCTTGAAAATAAAGTGTTAAATTTCTACTACGAGTCCAAAATTTATAAAAAAAATATATTGATTGCACTATCCCACATAAGCTGACAACAAACAATATAATATACAATAGCTATTTTGCAGTAAAATGTATTACTTCTTTCAATTGCAACTTTGAGTGAAAGTATTATTGATCATTCATTCTTGACACTAACATATTGCCTCATATTATTCGCTGTTTAAAAAAATTAAAGAAACACTTTTTAATCAGAGTATAGCATTGAGTCAATTAAACTCCAGGGATATTGATCAAATCAGTTAAGTAGCAGAGGGGATTGTTAATCAGTCTCAGCTGCTTTGGTGTTAATAAAATTAGCAACAGATGCACTAGATGGCAACAATGAGATGACCCCCCAAAACAGGAATGGTTTTACAGGTGGAGGCCACTGACATTTTTTCCCTACTCATCTTTTCTGACTATTTTTCGCTAGTTTTGCATTTGGCTAGGGTCAGCGTCACTACTGGTAGCATGAGGCGATACCTGGCCCCTACAGAGGTTGCACAGGCAGTTCAACTCCTCCAGGATGGCACATCAATACGTGCAATTGCCAGAAGTTTGCTGTGTCTCAATCGCATGGAGAAGATTCCAGGAGGCAGGCAGTTACTCTAGGAGAGCTGGACAGGGCCGTAGAAGTTCCTTAACCAACCAGTAGGACCGTTATCTGCTCTTTTGTGCAAGGAGGATCAGAATGACCACTGCCAGAGCCCTACAACATGACCTCCAGCAGGCCACTGGTGTGAATGTCTCTGTCCAAACAATCAGAAACAGACTTCATGAGGGTGGCCTGAGGGCCCAACATCCTCTAGTGGGCCCTGTGCTTACTGCCCATAGAGCTCAACTGGCATTTGCCATTGAATACCAGAATTGGAAGGTCTGCCACTGGCATCAGATGCTTTTCACAGATGAGAGCAGGTTCACCCTAAGCACATGTGACAGATGTGAAAGGGTCTGGGGAAGCCGTGGAGAACATTATGCTGCTTGGAACATTGTTCAGCATGACCATTTTGGTGGTGGGTCAGTGATGGTCTGGGGAGGCATTTCCATGGAGGGACGCACAGACCTCTGAAGGCTAGACAATTGCACCCTGACTGCCATTAGGTATTGGGGTATTGGGATGAAATACTTGGACGCATTGTCAGACCCTACGCTGGTGCAGTGGGTCCTGGGTTCCTCCTGCTGCACGACAATGCCCGGCCTCATATGGTGAGAGTATGCAGGCAGTCCCTGGAGGATGAAGGAATTGACACTATTGAATGGCCCCCATGCTCGCCTGACCTAAACCCAATAGAACACCTCTGGGATATCATGTTTCGGTCCATCCAACACCACCAGGTTGCACCTCAGACTGTCCAGGAGCTTAGTGATGCCCTGGTCCAGATCTGGGAGGAAATACCCCAAGAGACCATCCATCGTCTCATTAGGAGCATGCCCCAACATTGTCAGGCATGCATACAAGCACATGGGAGGCATAAAAACTACTGAGCAACATTTTGAGTTGTTGCAATGAAATTTCAGCAAAATGGGCCAGCCTGCTGCATAATTGTTTTCACTTTCAATTTTGGGGTGTCTTTAAGTTCAGTCCTCCGTAGGTTGATAAGTTTCAATTCTGTCAAACAATGGGGCAATTTTACGTTCCTAACACATTACCCAGTCCATATCTGTATAGATATCCAGCATGATATTTTTCCCCATTGAGATCTGATGTGTTTTCAAAGTGTTCCTTTAATTTTTTTGAGCAGTGTATATCTGCAACAGTTAAGTGAATCTCAGCAATCAGCATTTATCAAAAACTAAAATGTTAGTTGATACTTAGTACATACATCTAACAGTACTTGCATTTTCTGAAGTATTCTGAAAGAAATAATTACTTTCAATGTAGGTTTTCAAGATTTTTTAAAAATTCTTTAGGAAGTTTGCCTGTTAAATTTGCATTTAGCTAACTCTCCTTTCATATTATAGGGGGTTTGTTTTGTCATTGTTTTTTGTAATAATATTTCATTTGGCATTTGTTTCTATTCAGCATGTTAATTTATGTCTCTCCTGCAATGTGTTTTCAACTGTATGGTCTGATTTGTGTAGTGAACTAGCATCATTTGTACAGGATTCTTCAAGTGGAGAAACTTGTCAAAGGAGAAAAAGGAGAAGAATGCTATGATAATTTGTATCCTGCTAAGATTTATCAGGGGATATAATCCATTATCTTTCTGAAAACATGCAAATACCAAACACAACTCTTGCTTTCTACTTTACTATTTTTAATACATCTCATTTGTTCATGCCATAACCATTATAGACAACTCATAGCTTGTCTGGCTTTGTGCTAAACTCCCACTGTGCATCTATTTTTGAGATACTACTTGTCTTGTGCTAAACATTACTTATGGTATAGTGAAAAACTGAAAAAAGTACACTAAAATTATAAAGAGAAATAAACAAATATACTGTAAGCATACTCATATTGACATAACAAATATAAAAAAGTACATGTGAATCATTAGTGTGACATGTACAAAATGTCAACCAGACCTCTGTGATATCACTCAAAATGAACAACAATATATGAAACTGAACATAGTCCAACAAATAGTGCTAAGCAACAAACAAAAAAAGTCTAAACAACACATCAACAGTGTCCCAAATGAATAATCTTGTGTGTTCCAGCTCCAAAAGTGAATCCCTCCACCTCTAGTGGTGCCAAATACTCACCTCATCATTAGAGCTCTAAATTCCAATGTGGTCTATAAGTGCTTTGTGTATATCAGAGATACAGCCTTCTCATCCGTCAAGTGTAGCAATCATCCAATATAGAGATGGTTAATCTCTAGTGGCTCCTGGGCCAATCACAACTAAATCACAACTAAATAAAAACAATCCTATAGATACAGTAAAAATATATTCACATTAAAAATATCCAGGTAAGCTTAAAAAGAGTGCACAATCCTTCACCCAGTAAGCCATTGTAAACTTATCTTGGGATGGATGTATTAGAAAGAAATGCTCTGCAGGGATTGGCAGCAAACATTCACAATCAGCATGCTAATTTCATCAAGGGAAGCTTCATCTTGCTAGGACCCAATCCTTTTGAGTTCAAAATTGTGGGACACTTGTTGATGTGTTGCTTGATTTCATATACGGCTGGAAATTTGGAGTGATATCACAGAGGTATTTTTATATGTTGCACTATTGATGCACATGTGATTTTTTATGTTTGTTATGTCAATATGATTAAGCTTATATCTGTTTATTTTCATTTATGAGTTTAGCTTTTTTTTTTCAGCACTGTCATATTATATCATATGTGATGTCATGTCATAGTAATTATGAGTATAGGTGGGCGTGAATAGCTTTTAAATACTGGCAAGGTGATTTAGGTCAGTATTATTGGTTTTCTCACACAGTTTTTGAGGTTTTTTTTTGTTTTTAATAGCTACTAATACATGTTTGAAAAGCAGATGAGACCTTAAAGAGGAACTTCACAATCCTTCTGCGTATTTTCCCCTTTAACCTGTTTGCAGGGTTGTCCTCAATTCACATACTTACTCACCTAACCAGTGAATTCAGTGTTGTCCTGCTGCAATCTGCTGCTCCACTGTCACAGGCCAATACCTGCACCATTGATGTCATCAGGTATTTGCTGTTTTTTACAGGTTCTTGAAGCCAGCCCCTGATGATGCAATGTCAGATCCACCCACCAGTCCCACCCACCTGCTACTGTGTGTGTCCCTGCTCCTGCATCCTTCTGGGATATGCAATCTTTAGATCCCAATAGTATTCAGAGCAGAGATGTCATTCTAGCCTAGCTGAGAATGGAGGCCGGAGACAGGCTAGACTAAGAAAAAGCAAAACAACATACATAAACAAAAATGTGCTGCTTTAGATTGCGGAGGATTGAGGAGAGTGTAATGATCCCTAGTGCATCTAGTGAGTGAAGGTTTGTTTTAACCTGTAGGTTAAACAAAACAGATTATAGATCAGGGCTAGTGTACAATCTCTAGTTAGGGTTACCCCACCATTTCTGCCTGTTGCCCATAGTGGGTCTTCTTTAGCTAGTGTGCCATGGCTTACAACAGCTTAAGCTGATATTTGTAGAGAACAGGGGCGGACTGACAACTCATGGGGCCCCCGGGCAATAGGGAATCATGGGGCCTCCTGTGTCCTTGCCCAAACTCAAAAAAGCCTATGAAAAAGGTACCCTGGGGCCCCCTACCCGGGCAGTCGGGCCCCAGTTTCCAAATGGGCAGTCCGTCCCTGGTA